TACCTCTTGGTGGTGTTGTGTTTTTCTGTCGGTGAGTAAGGTTCCAGGGCTCCACGGGGTAGGGGATTGGGTCAGGGCGGGCAACACTGCGAATTATATTTTTGGTATCGCAGCTTGTATAGGCTATGGAGGCCACTTACACCCTTTTTAACCGACTTCAAAAAAGGAGGTTTTTATTTCTTCTAAATGGCTTCGCACGGCTTGTGAATTCAGCCAATGTCAAGTGTTAAAATGTTTATAAATACTATAGCACTCGTTGTCAAAATAATAAATCAAGTCAAAGTAAGCGGCAGTCAAGTCAATCCCCCTTTCCCTATGTTTCAGTAAAATTGTGGGGATTAACTGGAACCTCCCCATGGACTTCTTGAGGGAACGTCGAAAGACACTTTCCGCTATTTTGTTTCACTTGCCAACACTTGTGCATGTTCCCGAATACTAAGTGGTTAATAATCCACCATTATTAGACACTGACATCCGCCACAACACAATTTATAACAAGAAAAACAAAACTGCTAAAGTGACGCTTCCCGCCAAAAAGTCCAAGGACGAGGTTCTATGTTCGACTGTATTTTAGCATAAAGAAAAACATTGCTAAAAATATCCTCACCCTCTGATCAAACTATTTCAGAAATAGCTCGTGAAATATAAACACTGAGCTTACTTATTATTATGCAAGTTTATCAAACTGATGATCCTGAACTGAAAGCTCGTGATTAAGTTTTGTTCCAGCTTCTATTATATCGCTGATTCATTAATTTGAGAGTGTCTTTGTTAACGCTGTCTGATGCATTTTAAGGCTTTTGACGTTAAAATTCTTTTCGAATCTATAAACAATCGTTATTTTTGTCTTATTCTACCTATGACGCTATGTTAATGACAAAAGCTCTTACCACTTCTACGGTTTTTTTTTTTAAATCAAGGATATTAATATTAAGGCCCATATTAGAACCTCTTTTGTGTTAAAACTCATTATAATATTATAGTCACGAACATAATTCCAAAAAAAAAATGTTAAAAAAACACAAAGGACATTTGAAAATAGAACGAAAGGTTTTGAAGTTTGGACATCGTGCATCGGACTAAAGCGACAGGCAGAGTTCATTCAAAGGAAAATCAGCGCGCGGAAAATCTAATTTACGGAAAGGGTAAACAAAAAAGGTAACGGAATGGAGTCCGCATTACAATACGAAAGAAGGAGGTCGGTGCACTACTGTCAGTGCACTTTTCGTTTGAGAAACGACGCGGTGTGCTTTTAACATACCAATTAGCAGGGCCTCACAGAATATCTTAGTCTTAGTACATTATGAATACTATAATAGATAACATCCCATCGCGACGTTACTTTAAGAATTGTATATTTCGACCTATCCATAGGATAAAGCTACTTCTGCATAATCCCAACTTTACAGTAGAGCGATTTTAAGTTTGTAAGGAGTAAAATATGCTGTAACTTGTATTGATATTTTCTAGCATTTGTTTTTTACCAATCTTAAAAAGCATTAAGAAGCAAATAATGTCGCATTTATTGTTAAAAAAAAAACTACATTTACGGCTCATATTTTGTTATTTAAGAGTATCTTATGTGATTATGTGACAATTAACTATGGACATCTTTATTTATATATGCATGACCTTATGCTTGGGAAACATGACAATATTATGTGTAGATATAACTTTACGTAATTTATATGTTCTGTCGCGTCACATTATGATGATATGGCGAAGATTCGGCAAAATAGATCAAACAAGAAAAATAAAATCAAACATTTAGATAAAAGTCTCAGCTTATAAGAAAATTGATGCCGTGTTGGCTGCGTTCTTGCCTATCCAAAAGGTACTTGTGCTTTTGGCTCTATATTCTTCGGAAACAAAAATCACATTCAATTGCTATCTTCAAAGTTATATAAGTTTTAGAATAAATGTTTTTACCAGTAAAACATATGCTTCCTTTTCCCCTAAAAGTTCAATAAATGCAAATTGAGATCATTTTCATATGTAACTTTATTCTATGCATAGGTCGATATTTCCTCGAGTGATAAGGCTAAATAAATAGGTAGCTATGAATATAATATATCATATCTGCTAGTTCTATAATGGACCTTTATAGTGACTCAAGTGGAAACAGAAGTATTCGCTTATCGCAATTATTAAGAAAAGCAATCTGATGACTCAAATGCGAATACAATTTAGCAATTTCCGGTACAAGTTAGATTACCACTGGTGTCGATTCTGGCATCATTCTTTAAACTTATAACTTAATTTAACATCAGTCATTCCTTTTTATTCTGTATAGAAAATGACAAGGATACTAAAGCTATAATTAAATTTGATAGGTTGTCAAATTTAATTATAGCTTTAGAGAATTATGTCAGAATCGTTACAATGGACTATTGTACGAGTATGTATTAATTTTATTGTAACATTAATTACACGTTTAAAAATATTAAATATTCGTGATTAAAACAAATACAACTAATTGATTAAACACCGTTGAATAGGATAAATGAAGCATAAATTGTGTCAGCTAAGTAAGAATTAATTGTTCTTTGGTTTTATGTTTAAATTTTAGCATTGAATTAATTATGTTTTATAATGTTGTCTGATTGTTCAAATATTTAAATAAGCTGCAAAATCTTCTTTATTTTAATTCAAACCTGTTTTGTGATTAATAAAGTGAAACTGATTGATGTTTACAATTTATACAAAATTAAAATGTCAAGTTAATAAATCCATTTTTTTGCCAAAGCATTTAGTAAACATGCCGATTTAATGCCTTTTCAATAGGTTGCACAATACAAAACTAAGTATATTATGACAATTCGGTCATATCAACTTCATTAATCTTAGTTTAAGTATTAACAACGTCATTGGACAACAACTATACATGAATTTATGAAATCAAAATATGCTGTATCTAATTTAAAATTGAAAAAATATTATTGATAATTAAAGGTACCTACTATTTATTTATCTAATTTAAGATAAATAAATAGATGGTTTGGTAGAACTGACCTTCGATATTCTACTATCTTCTAAAATATATAAAATGCATTATAAAAATTCAATTAATGAAGGCTGAAAGGCAAAGACGCTGCAAGGTAAGTTATCTATCATCTTCTAAAATCATTTTATTATTAGCTCTTTCAGCAAAAGTAGTTTCACTATATTTAACCAATCTAACATTTAACAATTATTTAGTGTAATGAATACCTGTAATGGATTTACAGATTTGTGGCTATATTTACTGTTAAGTTGGTTCTAGTTAAGATAATTAGTTGAGTGCAAATACAATAGCCCTTGTTGGGAACAGACCGCCATCAGTCAGTCCCTTTGCACTGCGACCTCGCATAGGGATAGGAGACAAAGTCGTGATGTTAATTAGACGGGTTGTTGCTGATTTTGATCTTAGTTCAAATAACATTTATTAATTTGATTGTGATGCTAAACACATAATTTTCATTACGGCATCTCCTTTCAAGCTTAATATGGTTTTGTTTTAGTATAGGTGATGTCCAAACACGATCCATTTCACTTGATAAACAGAGGCGGAATAAAATGGAGGCCGATTAGGTGACTGAAAGAGATAAAAATGTATCGCTACTATAATTTCAACCTAGGTTCATTCTCCATGCCTACTATTATTATTTTTTTATTTTATTTTTTTATAGTTCGGTCCAACAAATGACTCCGCCCTACCTGATGTTAAGTGACGGTGAAGTCCAGACATAAAGATAGCTGGTACAGCAGTTCTACCTGCCACATCAGCCATCCTCACCTTGCCGGCCTCTAGTAACTTCTTCACGCCTCCCTTAACACGTTGACTGCGGCACAGATTTTTCTTTACTTTCCATTACTGCGTTACGAGTTGTTTTAAACCTCGTCTAATACCCGACATTGTGGCGGCACGAGGCGTATTAAACCCCACCGCCCGAAGGAGACTAAAATCCTTTTTTTGGCCCCAAATAAGACAAATATGACGGCTTTTTTCATGATTATTATTAAAAATTAGTTGATTAACCTAGATCTGCCGCCGTCCGTGGTTTAAAGGATCCCAGTTTGTAAGAAGGTTTTAAAGAGAGGAAATGCTAGCGAGAACATAATTTTCGAATACTGTAAGCAAAGTTCTAATTTTAAATAAATAGATTGTTCTGTTTTACTGTTTGGTTGTGTTGTTTATGTGCGGCTTATTATATTTTTTTTAAAGTCCCACAGAGTTTCTATTTCAAAATTTGTTACCAAACAAGAAGGTTAGGTTCACCTTATTACACCAACATTCAAATAAAGGCTCAATTCATACTGCCGCGTTCGCTATAACTTTATGTCACTCGTATAACATGCAAACTTAATACGAGCTAAAAACGATTCTCGGGAATGATGAAGGGAAAAAGCGAGACTATATAGTTCATTATGCACAATGTCATTGCAAAAGTTTGCTTCCACTCCATTCGGCAGCAGTAAAAATGAGCCAAGCTGTTGAATACATCATTCCAACTTATCGCCACGAAATTTCGTCTACGAACGGGATTAACGCAGGTGTGGGCAGTCATTAGCGGCAATCGTAACGAAATATTGGGCTGTGTGACTATAGACGACTCTTGCATGGCGGTTTAAGACACGCATCAAAGGAGTTTTGGGGGACGATAAATTTGTTTGTAGCCAATATAGCCAAAGCTTTGTCTCGCAGGTGTGGGATAGGCATCAGACTTAAACATGATTCAAGGCTCTTTCACTCAGAGCTTTTAAATATGATTTAAGAAATTTGCTACAATTTATAGTAATTTATATTATTTACGGGTTTGTTACCATGTACCTTGTTTTTAGCGCAACAGTGCCGAAATATCACAAACTCTCTAAAAACAAGGTACATTGTAACAATCCCGTATATAACATAAATTACTATAATGTTAGTGACCATGAAAGTTTAAGACAATATTTGGTCTTATTGGGCCTCAATTTGTTATGTGTAAGATCATTGTAGATGGAAATATGAACTGCCTTACCTTGGCGTGTTCCTGCTGAGCTAGAAGCTGTTCCCTCACCATCTGCAGCTGCAGTATCATCTCTGACAGCTGCCTTTCCTTCTCCAGCACACTCTCTCCGGCCAGGGCTTGGAGAGCCGCCGTGTCAAGCACCCCTCTCCGGTCCCTGGGTCAGAATGAATTGGTTTAACAAACTCATCATAATCGGCCTATTAATGTCCCCACTGCTGGGGCACAGGTCTTGCTTATGAATAGAATAGGGAGATTGGGCCGTGACCTGGTGGGCGCTAACGACTGTAGATGCAGCCGGGACAAACTGCTTAAAGTGCCTTCTAAAGCACTAAGGAGCTCAAGATAATAAGTTTATGGTCACCCATCCGGAGAGTGACCATCGCGAAAGTTGCTTAACTTCCACGATCGCAGACCGAACGCGCTTACCACCTGCGCTATTAAGCTCCTCCATTTTTCGTATTTTTGAGGGCTTCTTGTTTCTTTGAAACACAAGTTCTCAAAAAAAAGGGAGATATAAGAGCACAGAATAAGTAAAATTATATTTTATGTATTAAAATCAACGTTTGTATACGAGACCAACCGGACGAGAACGTTTGTATGGAAAAAACACTGCCCGCCTTCCTTTAAAGTAAAAAAAAAATGTGTGCACGGACCACACATCTGCACTGCATCAATAACCTAACATCAGACTGTGCATAAGGCATAGGGGAATGGAGCAGCGCACGCATCACTCATATATTACATATGTATATATATATATATATATATACACTTCTGGACACATCTATTGGCCCACCTTAGAGTTAAGGTTTCGATGGCCCCTACCGAAATATGATTGCTAGATTGAACAAAAACTGTTGATGCAGTTTTAAACCTGATACATTTTACCATCTTTTTCGATCGTATTGTTTTAAATTTGAATTCAGAATACCATACGACATGGAGCTACGCCTAACAAGTCGGATATGTGCCTTGTTAAAGGCAATTGATTTTTGAATAAAAAACATGTTTTATCAAATAAAGGTTTCATTTAATAACGCGTGTTGCCTCCATGGGCATCTACCACAGCTCTCATACGATTAGGCATAGAGTTTATCAACCGCTCTATGAAATTTGAGGGATCATCTTCCATTCCTCTTCTATGGCAGTTTTCAACTCCTGTATCGTCTGGGCAACTGGCTGACGAGCTCTAACACGTCTTTTTAGCTCGTCCCACATGTGCTCAATGGGGTTCATGTCTGGGCTTCTGGCTGGCCAGTCCATAACTGTGATGTTCACATCCCGAAGATATTCCCTGACGATGCTGGCCGCATGGGCTCTTGCATTATCATGCAAAAAAGGAAATTTGGGCCCACATAGGTAGGTAGGTAGGCCCGCGTATGGTATCACGTGAAATTCTAAGCACTCACGAATGTACCTTTCAGCATTTAATGTTGGTAGCCGTGGTCCTGAAACAACCTCAAGTTGAGTTTTGCCGCTCGCGGATATACCGCCCCAGACAGTCCATGAGCCACCGCCATAAGCAACCCTCTCTTCAAAGCAGCATTGTGCGAAACGCTCTCCCTTACGTCGGTAGACCTTCTTCCTTCCATCATTGCCATGTAACACAATTTTAGACTCATCAGAAAAGAGTACACGGCTCCAATCTTGCTGTGTCCAATTTAAATGACTGCGTGCGAAATGAAGGCGCGCTGTTCGGTGGGCTCGCGTTAGTTTGGGCCCATTAGCTGGCTTGTGTGGTACCATATCGCGTTCTTTTAACCTTCTCCGAACAGTTCGAGCGCTCACAGATACTCCGTGGAAGTCGCGAATTTGTTTTTGTATCTCAATGGAGGTAAGGTGACGATTTCTCAAGCTGGTCGTCACGATGAATCGATCCTGCCTTTCAGTTGTGACCCGAGATCGTGGCCTTCCTTGGCGACGAACAAAGCCGCCAGCCAGTCTCTAGGTACCTCCGATAAACATTTCGGACCGCAGATCGACTTAAATTAAGTTGAGCACTCACGTTTCTTTGGCTGTGTCCGGCCTGAATAAGTGCCACAGCTTGGGTGGCGACTTCAGGTAAAGTATCCATAGATTATTGATAGAACCTCACCTTAATGTTAAGAATAAGTAATGTTTGTTGCAAAACCAAAGATATCAATTACTTTTTCAAGAATTAAATCCAAGTAAACCAATAAAAGCAAGTTTTCTTAGTATTCGATTGTTTGATATCAACAAACAGGCTCCAAATTGTCTTTTGTTTCTTTAAATTCTGTGTTCGAAATTCAAAAAAAGACTATTGAATGAAATTGTGAATGTGCCAGGTTCAAAACTGCATAAAAACTTTTTGCTCGACCTACTATAAAATATTAGCTAGGACCAAACGAAACTGAAAATACAAGATGGGCCAATAGATGTGTCCAGAAATGTATATATATATATGTATATATGGTCGCGGTCGTGTGTGACGCTCGTGACGCTCGTAGCATTTCAGCCTTCGCCGAGTTACCCTCTAACACACACACATACATAAATATATTCGTGTGACGCTCATGACGCATTTCCGTTTCATGTTTTCCATAGGATTTTTTCATTTACACCCAGTCCGAAGAAAAGAAGTTTTACTTCAAAAATATTTCTTATATTACTATCAACACCTGTAACATTATGAAATAAGCTTCGTAGTTTGTTCGCACATGGCTCTGTCATACGTCATTGGTACGGTATTAATAATATAATATTAATAATTAATGATCCCTTAATGTTCAGTGCCAAGAATCACTAATTCTGGCAACTATTATTAGATATTGGCAGTCGCCATGACAATACATATTAATTGTATTGTTTGATTTGAACAAATTTCTAACATGGCGCGTGGTTGGTTGGCTACGATGTCTAGATGTTAACAATATATTTATGAACTTGTTAGGTAAGTGAACAAATCGGTGGCAAAAAAAGCCAAAAAGATACTTTCTTAAATACAAAAAGCCTACCACCAAAGGAGCGTTAAAATGTTAGGATCCTGTGGAATTATCAAAAAATAAATACCACAGACTGTAAATAATACCTTACAATTTTAAAACTATGTTGTACTAACCATTATATAGAACCCGGGAGGTTCAAATCCCGGTGGGGGCAGATGTTTGTGTGATGAATAAGAGCATTTGTACTCCAGACATGGATATTTAATATGTCATTGTATTTCTATATAAATATACATAAGATGTACAGTATATGTACTGTTTATGTATTCTGTCCGTTACCCTAGTATCCCATAACACAAGCCTTACAGTGCTTACTTTGGGGCTAGGCTAATTGATGTGTGTTGGAAATATTTATTATTTTATTTATTTATTTATTATGCTACCGCGGCCCTGATGGCCGTGTAGAATTTTCTCTAGCCTTTCTTAGGCTACAAGGCAACACGTCAGAGCACAATGTCAAATGAATACCTTTACAAGTGTTAAACATTTGAAAAGAGAAACAGCAATTACAGTTTTCTTTAGCATTTAACTGCAAGATGTTTAAATCTAAAGAAAATTTTACTAAAAAAAATACACGCGGCCCGGGCAGCAGACGGGACTCGAAATTCGACACGGTCCACACAGACAAACTATATTATAGTTCTGTAGAAAATACATAGAAACCTAAGTAGTAGAGAAAACTCTGATTATACATAAACACGCCTAGCTATATATAGAAAACCAAATAAACCACACACAGAAAACGGCTCATACGCGTTACATTACTCGCAATATGTGCGCGACTCTGATGTAAGATTGTTCGAAAGCAGTCAATGTGTGTATGTGTAGCGACGAGTGTCTCTACCATATGTAGTAGATATTTTTTGATGCTTCCGTGATACGGTATTCAGGCGTGTATACGTGTATATAATCAAAGAGAAGAACTTTGAAAACTGGGTCTCAGCATATTGGTAACGAGGTGGTACATTAAGTACAGTCTTCAACATAATGTAGGAAACAACTCGTTCTCATACTATAGTCATTACATAAAGCACCTGTTCCACCGAACGAGAACAGCGATAATTTTCTCTCTAAGGAATGTAATGCTATTCCTCATCTCATTTCTCTCTAAAGTACTGGTTTTTCTGTCTCTACTGAGATGTCTCTAACCTATCAGGTATACTATTGACTACATTACAAGTTATTATAGCCAGTTATGGCTGGTCGTTCAGATTGTATAAGAAAACCTTTTCTTCACTAGTTTGTCAAAGTAGCGGGATCTATTAAATTTTTGAATTACTCGCTACTGACTAACAGAGACACGGAGAAAGGATTTTGAACGTTCTAATTGTAAAGTGAGCAGCTTGATAGCGCAGGTGGCAAACGCATTCGGCTGCGATCGTTGAACTTAAGCACTTTCGCAGTGGTCGGTAATTGGATGGGTCACCAAAGAGTGCTTCGGAAGGCACGTTAAGCCGTTGATCCAGGCTGCATCTGCATTCGTTAGCACCCTCCAATCTGCACTGGGACGCGTGGTGGGTCATGGCCCAATCTCCCTATTCCATCCATAGGAAAAACCTGTGTCCCAGCAGTGGGGACAGTAATAGGCTGATGATGATGATGAATTGTAAAGTAAAACTGGGAAGATAAATTTGAGAGACACGAAACGAGGCAGCTTATTTGAAATAAAATGAAATTATACTCTATTTAAATTAACTTGTTAAAAGCTCTTTCGAATCGTCCAATATTTTTTCTACCACCCATAGTTCGCTTAAGTAATGATTACTTTTTCTCTGTTATCTAGAGATTTGTCAATATCATGCGAGTGTATTTCAGTTCATTCTCCAAGTCTATGTTCGCTAACTAGTTTCTAATTCTGCTCGCTTTTCGCTTATCGTTGACAGTGGAAGAGGTGCTTAAGCCCGACGCTTTGGCATTAAATATTCAGAGCGTCCTCTGTTTATGCGACTGTACAGAGTGTTAACGTATACTTGAGGTGACACATTCAAACATGATACTTCTCTGTAACTGTTTTATTTTCAAAACATGATAGTACTTGTACCGAAAACGTGGTGTTGGTGGAAAAGTGAAACTTTGAAAGTGGGTATTTTTTTTACTAATATTAGCAATGGTTAATATTAGTAAAAAAAAATACCCACTATGAATGTATAATTCTTATTTTTTAAGCATGTAACTGCTTGATGTTTAA